GATTTAGATCATTGCAGCAACGGAATATGAAAATAAACGTCCTTTTTTAAAAAAGTGTATTAATTTGTTAACTTTGATTAAAAAAAAATTATAAATAATTAAAATCCCCAAAGTCGGCCTCGAAGGATGTCTCAAGAATTTATTCCCCTTTAATTTAAGACAAAGAACACTCAAATCAGTTAAAAATTGTAAGCTATAGATATTTTTTAATAGTAAATTGTAAAAAAAATTCCACTGTGGTCCGGTGCACTGCAGAAGTAAATGCTTAATTTGACAAGTTAAAAGTTCTTGTCCCACGTTTTGACCTATACATTTTTTTAGGAAAAAAACTCACCTTTTTGATAAAATTTTTTTTAAAAAAATTAAAACTGCCCATTTGATAAAAAAATGAAATTTTATTTTTTAATTTAATTTTTCAAGGTCAAACAATCTTTTTTCTCTACATTTGTTCACACTATTAGAAAGTGTTGAAAAACATCAGCCAAACCCAAAGTAGAAAACGTATTTTTGTTTTGTTTTAAAGAAACTACAAATTTTTCAATTATTCCCTGTAAATTTTTGACCTAGGTCATTTGACGTGGAACCCGTCCTATGTAAGAATACAAATGTAAAATATCATTAAAAAATATTAAAAATTACAAGAACTACAATTTTTAAAAAAATCTAATTTTTGTCGTTTTTCTGAAAAATTGGCTACTTTTAAGAATATTAAACAATTTTTTTATGTAAGTTTAATGGTAAGTTTTAAAATGGTAGAGTATTGAAAAGTGAACAAAAAAAAAAAAAAAAAATTGACTCCGGAGTGTACTACTTGTTCAAAAAAGAGGTGTGTGCTCCGAGGGTTAAGTCTATTTCTTGAAACAAATTTTTTTTTAGTTTTGCGGATATGGATTTTGAAGAGTGCGATTTAAGCTTTAAATCAAGCCTAATTAGAAGTCTCTAGCACGTCAGGTTCTGGAGAAAAAAATATTGAAAATCTTTGATTTTTTTAAATAAATAAATAAATAATTTTACTGTGAATGCACTGTTCCTTCGACATTTTGCGATTTATGAAATATTTTATATTTCGTAGACACAAATCTGATGAATTTTTATAAAATTTTCCGACATATAATTCCGTGATTCTAGTTTTTTAAAAACTAACTTCGGAATAATAATCAACGAGCTCAGAAACCCCCAAAAAGCCATATTGGATCAGCCATTTTTAATTTTTAAAAATTAACATAGAATTCGTGATCAGCGTCCCAGAAATCCTCGAGTTACAAGTTTCATGTAATTTCAAATTTATAATTAAGTACACACACCTCTTTTTTTGAACAAGTAGCACACTCCAGGGTCATTTTGACCCTCTTCACTTTTCGAAACTCTACCATTTAAAAACTTATCATTAAACTTACATAAAAAAATTGTTTAATATTCTTTAAACATTGAAGAATAAGTTTCTATACTTGTAAAGTTTCATTAAAAATATTTTGTTATAGAAAAAAATACTAAAAGTAGACAATTTTTCAGAAAAACGACAAAAATTAGATTTTTAAAAAATTATATTTCTTGCAAATTTTTAATATTCTATAGGAGTTTGTAAATAAGCATTTTTTGCAATTTGATGGAGGTGATTATACTCGGGGAGCATTGGAACGTATTATTAGAATCTAAAACAATTACTTTTAGGCCATAGGACCCCTACTTGTTACAATTTTTTAAAGAAATTTAAGTTTAAACTAAAAGATAGGGTCACACAGATCCTGTATGTGGTCTGAGGGTTAAAAAACTTTCTGCAAATTTGCAATATTTCTTAATAAGCTTGCAGCAATCGTTCCTTGCAAAATCTTGTTTTAATCTTTCATGATAAAGCTGTAATAATCTTTCAGGGTTTTTACCCTAACAGCAACAGATATTTCAGGATTTTCTATGGTCTTTCTAGGCGTATTCGTAAATTAGGATATCACTAGGATGTCCATGGACATAAATAGGATGTCCAAGGAACATCCTCATTTCCCCGGACACCCATGAAATATCCTGAATATCTGGATGCTGTCAGGGCATTTTTATAACAGTCAATCTTGCGTTAAATTTAATTTCACAACTTTCTGCAAAATGTTGGGTTCCCAAAATAGAGTAAGACAAAATGTTTTTAATTTAATATTTATTTATTGCTAATATTATAAATGATATTTTTAATAATTGCCATTACCCTGTAAACATACTTGAACCTTACCGTTTAATAGTATCCTTGCCACAACATTACAATTTAAGTTTATCACAACCCGTGCAGAAATTTTGTCCGGGGCCAGGTTGAAACACTAAAACCGACCGGGGCCATGGCACTTTGCCCGATCTGGCCGCCCTGTCGGGACCTGGTCGGGGCCATGGGATTTCCCCGGTCTTTTCGCTACCCAGGTATGAATCCAATACTGACTGCATTTTATTAAATAAAGCTCGTTATTTGATTATTAAAGCATGGGGAGTATTTACTTCAATATTAATAATTATTATTAATATTTTTGTAGTAAATAAACTTTTATGAGTGTCATTAAAAATGTAAATAATTATTAGAATTGCTTTTATTGAACTAAGTTTTTAAAAAAATATTTTTCTTATTTTCTTTCATTAATTTAGACAGACTATCTTATTCAAATTAATGCCTAATTTATTATTATTATTGTTAAATAATTATTTAAACCTATACTTTATGTAACATTATTAAGAATTATACACAAAACACTTAAAACTAAGACGGAAAAATATCGCACGCACGGGGGATCGAACCCTAGACTTCGAGGACGCAAGTCGAATACACATACCGCATAGCCAAGCAAGCTTGGAAGCGACCTTGCATAAACTTCCTTTTGAATCATGGGACCGTTATATACAGTGCTATCATAATAAATTGACTGTATCATATATGTTTATGATAATAATATGGTGAAAATGAAATTATTAATTAATAATTTTTTTTGCCTTAAACATGGAATTTCAATTTAAGTGTGAAAATATAATATTATATAATATTATATATAATATTATAACCACAAATAAATTAAACATTTTAGGAAATATTTTTGGTTATCACCATGATAACATCGACAAATGGTTTACCCTCGACAATTGGTGCGTTTGTCCTATTATTTTAAATTAAAGGAGCTCTAAATTAATCTAATATTGCCAGCAGACAATTAAAAACCCATAAAGTAATATATTTCAATTGTTATAAACAACATTAATTAACAAATAGTTAACTTTGATTCCTCTCCAATAAAATTTTTTTTTACATTTTCTTTTTAATTTTAGTTTATTTGAAGAATATTTTTCTTTTATGATTAAAAAATAACTTATTTAAATTGTTATAAACAATATTAATTAACAAATAGTTAACTTATGATCCTTTCTAACAAAAAATTTTTGTTACAAATTTTCTTTTTTACTTAGGTTCATTTAAAGAATATGTCTTTTTTGCTTATAATATAACTTATTTAAATATTTAATATTATATATGCGTGGTCTTTTAACATTATCTAAATAAAAAAGTAAACGTGAAAAAAAAATTTTTGGTGGAAAGGAACAAAAATTAACTATTTGTTAATTAATATTATTTGTAACAATTTAAATAAGTTATTTTTTAAACAAAAAGGACACATATTTTTAAAATGAACTTAAATTAAAAACTAGACGTGAAAAATTTTTTTTTTTGGTGGACAGGAACATATGTTACATAACTATTTGTTATTTAATATTGTTTATAACAATTTAAATAAGTTATTTTTTAATCAAAAAGGACAAATATTCTTTAAATGGACTTAAATTAAAAAGAAAATGTGAAAAAAAAATTTTTAGAGGAATAGGAATCAATGTTAACTATTTGTTAATTAATATTGTTTATAACAATTTAAATAAGTTATTTTATAATCAAAAAGGACAAATATTCTTTAAATGAACTTAAATTAAAAAGAAAAGGTGAAAAAAAACATTTTTTAGTGGAGAGAAATCAAAGTTAACTATTTGTTAATTAATATTGTTTATAACAATTGATAGAAATTACTTTGTTTTATTAATTGTGTGGTCGTCATATTGTATTAATTTGAACTGATTCAGATCATATGCAGCAACGGAATAAGAAAATAAGCCTCCTTTTTTAAAAAATTGTATCAATTTGTTAACTTTGATTGAAAATAAAAATTATAAACAATTAAGAACTAAAAAATTGGCCTTAAGGGATGTCTTAAGAATTTATTCGCCTTTAATTTAAAATAAAGAATACTGAAACCGGTTAAGAATTGTAGGCTGTAGACAGTTTGGAACAGTAAATTGTAAAAAAAATCCCATTGTGCGCTGTTTGTAGATCCTTGGGCAAGCCCGGCATGGTCCTGGTCGGGGCCACGAAGTCGGGGCCAGATCATGAAAACCCGACCGGGGCCAGGGCGGTAATCGGGAACAAAAGTGGCGATTTCTGCACGGGAACGTAACGGTGTAAGCTTTCGAATAAGATTAGAAGAAAATAATCGGTAATCGATTTGATACTTAAATAAAAAAATTCTAGATGAATCTCTTCATGTGGGGGTCCTGCAGTCCTTAAATAGAAATTTCTAATTTTTTTTACAAAATTATATTTTTAAAAACTTTTAAAAAGAGATTCAAATATAACAATTAAAATAAAATGTATTTTCAAAAATTAGTGTGACAGAAATAAAAATATTTTTAATAATATACTCTCTGGTACACATTCACTTAGATAATCATTTGTGTAATATATATATATATATATATATGTGATCTTTAATAATTTGACATATTTCAATAATCAAATTTTTATCTCTTTGTTAATTTCGAATTTATAATTGTCCTAACCAAATGCAGTACTATATGTACGGCTATACTTTAGTGACAAATGAGTATGTCGCGTCTGCGCCTCCTCTATAGTATTGGTAATGTTCCGTGTATACGAAAGCCCTACAAACCTAGTCATCTAACTTCATGGCGCCAGTTTCAAGAGTGCTTCTTGTGTGAATGCATTTATATTTTGATGCTCACTAAATAAAATTCGCGTTACGCGTAAGTGTCTAAAATGCTGTTAAATATTTAAAGCATTGTGTAATGCACAAATGACAAATAATTGTATTATTCAGCAGATGTAAAAATTTAAACGTCCAGTAATTGAACTTTAGTGCTGTAAGCTATTTATACTATATTCCATTTAAACAAAACATAATGTGTGAAAATTGAAGTTTATATTTTGATTACTATTAAATATTATTTAAATCATATAATTCGTGTTAAGCTGAGATGCGCACATTTTTAAATTTTAACGAGTGGGAGATAGCACACCACGTGTTGTTCATGACGGTCAAGTTTTTAAAATGACGTTTCTAATAATAGAAACAACGTACCTTTACTGTTTATTCCTAAAATTTAATTTTTTACGACTCCAATAACAAAAATTATAATAATTAATATTTTTAATACTTGTTTTAAAATTATAAATATTAAATTTAACTAGTAAAATATATTATTTAATTCTAAATTATCAACAAATATATATTACTGGTTATGTGCTATTTTAACAGATGATTTAATTAAATCTTTTAATAAAAGTGAGTTAATGTTTTAAAAGAACGGCTAATTCTGTTCGATCATGATGGGATTTATTGGTATCATCTTCCTAAATAATTACAAACGTATTGATTTTTACTTTTTATGTGAAAAACGTTTTATTACTTTACTGATAAGACACATGTAATGTATTATTTAGACTACTTTTAGAAAGTTAATATTTTTGGGAAAGTAATATATTTTAATTAAGTATATTATAGTATAACAAACAAACATAGCAAGTAATTAATTTAATTGGAATCCTATTAATTTCTGTAATAAATTAAATGCTATCGCATTTTTAAATAATATACCCTTTTAAATGTTCATGTTTTAAGAAGGTCAAGAATGTAAACAATTTGATATCATTCATAATTTTCAAAAAATTAAAAAGGTTTAATTTACTTTGTATAAACATTTGATAAATATACTATTTGTTTTACATTTGGGACCGTTCTTATAACAGGAGAAAACTTTTTACAATTATTTTACTCTTAAAGATCATGGATATATAAATACATAGAATTGTCGATATTTACAGACTTTTCTAGACCCCCAAAGTGTCAACGTGATACAAGGACAACCCTTTATTAAATTTCATTAGTTAATTTTGTAACCAGATGTGACGAGATATTTTCCCTGCTGACTGATAATATTTATAAATTGATAATAATTAAATTGTTAATTTATTTTTCTTTGGAGTCATTCCATTATATTTCCACTAAAGTCGTTGCTGACTAATTTTAAAAAATTATAATATTTTGCAAGAATGATTTTAAAGGTATTAGGATCACTGAACAGAAATAATTTTTTAAATATTTTTAATATTTATTGGAAATACGTATCTAAAATATATTAGTTCGTAAAAACTGTCACTTTTTCATCTATTAAAAGCTATTAAGGAAAATACATAATTAACTATGAAAATGTCAAAAAGTATTAAAATTTATTGATGAGGACTGATGATGAATGATGATTGAAATGATTTTTAAAGCCCACCTGTCAAAAACCTAAACTATGGAAATTTCATCCACTAAATGTGAAAAAGAGAAATCATTAAATTGAATAAAACCTTTTAGTAAATATTATATATTATATAGTACCTGTGATTAACTTTTAGTTTTTCTTATCACTTTCTTCCTTCTTTCATCATAAATGTGAAAGAACAAACAATTAAAATTTTCAATTTACTTATTTTTACGATTTGTAAATGTAAATAACATTCTTGCAGAAGAATGAAAAATTACAAAAATTGTGTAATAATTAACCCCTTCACTGTCAGTGGGATCTATAGACATAGAGCCATAAAATTGTCGTGCTCTGTATGTCCATGGGCTCTATAAGGCCATCGAAAAAAAGACATTTAAAAGTTAACGAATATTGCTAAAAATCCTTACTCGGAGGTTTTCGGGGTCGCTGAATCCAAATCAGTTGTCAAAAATTCAAAATTCAAAATGGCGACTTCAAAATGGCGCCAAAAAAAATTTTTAAGTTAACGAATCTGTCTGAAAATGCCTTAAAATGCCTACTCGGGGGTTTTCGACGTCGCTGATTCCAAATCCGTGGTCAAAAATTCAAAATTTAAAATGGCAGCTTTAAAAAGGCGACAAAAAAAATTTTAAGTTAACGAATTCGTTAACTTTTCAATTTTTTTTGGTTGATATTTTGAAGCCGCTATTTTGAATTTTGACTTTTCGACCACGGATTTTGAATCACTGACCTCAAAAACATATAATATGACAATATCATGATTAAAAAAAAATTTTTTTTTGAACACTTATGGCACAAAAACTTTATTTCTACTCGACTGTGAAGGGGTCAATTGATCACTAAATACACACTATAGAAAAAGATTTGTTTTGGTCTCGATTCTGTTTTTCAAGATATAATGAACTTTAATCTTTTTACTATTTTTGTCACGTTAATACATCATGTGATATTTATAAAACTGAAGTTGGTTCAAAATGATTAAACAAGAAGACCTAACTTCGTCCTTTAAAAATCACATGTATTAACTTGATAAAAATATTTAAAAGTTTAAATTTCATTATTTTGAAAAATTGCTTTGGGACCAAAGTAAATCTTTTTCCACTGTGAGTATTTAGTAATCAATTAATTATTGACCAATTTTTGTAATTTTTCATTATTCTGCAAGAAGGTTATTTACATTTTAAAATCGTGGAAATAAGCTATGTGCCATTTTTAATTGCTTGTTCTTTCACATTTACAAAGAAAAAAGGAAAAACTAAAAGTTAATCACAGGTACTTTATATTTGGTAAAATTTTATTCAATTTACTGATTTCTCTTTCTCGTATTTAGTGGATGAAATTTGCAAAATTAGGTTATTTGACAGGTGAACTTTAAAATCATTTTTCATTTAATATTTCTTATTACGATACTTCAGTGTAATACAGTCCTATCTTCTGGTAATATTTAGAACAGTCCTATCTTCAGGTGATGCTTTGTATGGTGCTGTCAAAAAGTAGGGTTCATAGAATGTATTGTTACAATTAACAAACAAGTAATAAACTGACTTATTAAATGATAAATATGACTGATAGTATCTTCCTATTAACAAAATAGTATCTTCCTATTAACTTCCCATTAACGCCTAAATGACAAAAATTTTTACTTAGATTTCAAAACACGATTCGAAGTATTTTTAGACAATAAATTTTAGCACTAATGAGATGTAGAGGGTTTTGGGGGTCGTTCTTTCAAATTCTGTGTCAAAATAGCAATTCGATCAATAAAAAATCCAATATGGCGGCTATTTTGAAAAAACCCCAAAAAATCAGTGCATTTTTTTAAATATTTTTTTTCAGATCTTATACCTTTCTTAAGTATGCTATTGGTGAGAAAAATAGTCGTACTTTTAAAATATAAAATAGAGAAAATCTGATTTGAAGATAGCGGAATCAAAATTTTGAAAAAGTCAATACATTACAGTAAAAAAAATTAAATTTTACATTAACATTCAAAAAGTATGCAAATTCGATTCAAAATGTATAACTCGGGGGTTTTCGGGGTCGCCGATGACGAATCCGATGTCAGTTTTTTAAAATTAAAAATGGTCCCAGCTTAAAATTTCCGTACAGGATCCTCTCGGGATCCTGTGCAGGTCCTGTGCAGGATCCTGTACCCATTCTGTACAGGGATTGTGGACAGGGTTCCTGTGCAGGTTCCGATGCAGGAACCTTAGCTATCAAAGGTTCCTGTACTGGAACACTTGCTGGATCCTGTGCAGGAAACTTTTAAATTTTTTAAATTTTTATATGTTAAGCAACATTTTACATACATAGACTTCATATTTCAATATGTTAGGCTCGTATAACAATGTTGGACAGAAAAATGTATTGCGCATTCGAGAAACTCATAGAAAACTACTGCGTAGGAGTTACAAATGTAAATAAATTAATTGAGGAAACTGTGTAGGTTCCTTCACAGAACCTTTGCAGTTTTGTAAACTGCTTGTACTTAAGTATAAAGGATCCTTTAAAGAACCCGTAAAGGATCTTACACAATTTCGTCAATTAATTTATTTATATTTTTAACTCCTGCGCAGTTAAAAATATAATATATTATACATATTTTTTCTATGAGTTTCTCGAATGCGCAATACATTTTCGTGTCCAACATTGTTATACGAGCCTAACATATTGAAATATGAAGTCTATGTATGTAAAATGTTGCTTGACATATAAAAATTTTTAAAATTTAAAAGTTTCCTGTACAGGATCCTGCAAGTGTTTCTGTACAGGAATATTTACAGGAACCTTTGATAGTTAAGGTTTCTGCTTCGGAACCTGCACAGGAACCCTGTCCCAAAATCCCGTACGGGATCCTTTAAGGATCCTGTACGGGGATTTTAAGCTGGGACCATTTTTAATTTTAAAAAACTGACATCGGATTCGTCATCAGCGACCCCGAAAAACCCCGAGTTATACATTTTGAATCGAATTTGCATACTTTTTGAATGTTAATGTAAAATTTAATTTTTTTTACTGTAATGTATTGACTTTATCAAAATTTTGATTCCGCCATCTTCAAATCAGATTTTCTCTATTTTATATTTTTAAAGTACGACTATTTTTCTCACCAATAGCATACTTAAGAAAGGTTTAAAAAACATTTTTAGATCTGAAAAAAATATTTTAAAAAATGCACTGATTTTTTGGTTTTTTTTTCAAAATAGCCGCCATATTGGATTTTGTATTGATCGAATTGCTATTTTGCCACAGAATTTGAAAAAACGACCCCCAAGGGTCCCAGGACGGGCACGGGATCCGGTCAGGATCCTGCACAGGATCCCGAGAGGATCCTTTAAGGATCCTGTACGGGGATTTTAAGCTAGGGTGGATCCAATATGGTCGCCAATTTAAAAAAAATTTGGAATCGCTTGAAACTTGTCACTCGGAGGTTTTCGGGATCGCTGATGACGAATCCGATTTACTCCACCCATACATTTATTGGAAATGTGAAAAGCGTTGGGAAATTTTAATGGAATTTCAATTTTTGCTCTTTCTTTATAGCTGGTCTATGAAACACGCATTTGTAAAATTTGTTTTACTTTTATGGT